CCTCTTCATAATCTTCCCCGGCACTGAGGTCAGGCTGACAGCCCTGTAGTTATGCAAAAGTTCATGCTGATTTTTAGTAGCCCTGCTGATTACTTTCTCAAGTAAAGTTTTCTTGACTGCAGAGGACTAGAGCAACAATTGTTTAAATAAAAGAAGAAAACAGCACGTTATAGACTTGCTTGCAAGGTCAAGGCATGGGAAGGAGAACATCCTTGCAGCAAGAGGGACACTGCTCAAATAATAACTACAAATTGCAAAAGTTCATGCTGATTTTCAGTAGCCCTGCTGATTACTTTCTCAAGTAAAGTTTTCTTGACTGCAGAGGACTAGAGCAACAATTGTTTAAATAAAAGAAGAAAACAGCACGTTATAGACTTGCTTGCAAGGTCAAGGCATGGGAAGGAGAACATCCTTGCAGCAAGAGGGACACTGCTCAAATAATAACTACAAATGAGGCAAATGAAAGATTCACAAAGTCACACAACGTAGCCCATCCTCTTCAGGAATGTAACACAGGTCAACAGCAGTTTCTTAGTCCAGTCTAGTTCTTACTATTGCAAGCACATGCAGCTGGGTAATTTCCAGGTATTTTATAATAAAATTGTGCAGTGGAATTAATATTTTCTCCTAACATATTCCAAAAGCCTATGTGTTATTTTTCTTAAATAAGATGTCAACAAGAAAGATTTTCCAGAAGATTTAGACAATTAGCTATAACAGTAAATGTGGTGATATTTCATCATAAATGGAATTTTTACCTCAATTTCCTGGAATGAACTGTTGATCATTGCGATAAGCATGTTCAGTAAGACAATGACCATGGTAACATTATAGACTCCATAAAGGACATAACCAATATTTTCAATAAACTTATGTTTATAATTGATGACAACTGATTTAACTTCTGAGAGTCCAAATATAGCCCAGAACAATGTCTTGAAACTTTCTTCAACACTAAAAGGAGAAATTGAACATATGCATATGTTACTGAAGAAAAGCTGTATATTCTTATTGTATAAACTGCCAGTTACCATTTTTATACAGTGTACAAATTTTGCCATTATCATAATGTAGAAATCTACCCTAGTGATATTATGCAGAACAAGTAGACTATCTAATTTCATAGGTACTGGCTGTTTCATAATATAAGATTCCTAATATTTAGGACTGACAATAAAACCATCTGATTCAGTTTAGGAATTATATATACAGCCTCAAAAGAATATTACAATGATTCACTTGTTAACTACTTTAATCTACATGCTACATGCTTGCCGGGAATGTGAATATAAATAACAAAAATAATTAACTTGTAAATATTTTAATTGCACCATTAGTTCACTTACTATGAATTATTTCACCATTAATATGACTAACATTCTGAAACTGTGAAGATGACAGGATTTCTGAGTGCAAATCAGCATTTTTCAAAAAATGAGTCTCACAGACCATAATCCTCCAGCTGAGTTTTCACTGTTCCACAAATCCAGGGTAAAGGTAATAAGCCATGGTGTGGGGATACTAATTTTTTTTCATGTTAGTTCATTTAAATACATGTATTTCCTCTTAATCAGTTTATATATATATACACACATAAACATAACTCCAACCTCTGACATATCTTTTCCTGCCTATCTCCACGTGTTTGAAGACATATTTTTTCTTGCTTTCATGAAGAGACCTCAGTTCCCCATATGCAAAAATGCAGTAGCATTGCAAAGCACAATTTGGATTTTATTGCGTTATTGTTACGGAAAAAAGTTAAAAGAAACTTGTAATTTTTAGTCATGAATTTAATTCCTTGCTTATAATATTTTATCAGTGTTCCATCTGTAAGTTGTAGGTTTAGGTACTTTATCTATTGTGTGAACTAGTAATAATAAAAATGTAGTAACAGATTTTTCCCTCATGGCCAAGTTTGCTTCTTGGCTGAGTACACTTCATAACAGCTACAGCCTGAATATCATGACAGCCAGAAATTAAGTGGGCAAGGGCTGCAGCGCATGGTAAAGAATGAGTTTCCATTCAAGTGACAGCTAGAAATGAGAGGCATGACAAATGTATACCAAATAACTCCTGACAGGCAGAGTAAATTCAGAATTTCTCTTCTTATGGTGGGAGAAGAAAAAAAGAACAGCCAAGGAAATAAAGAGTCAAAAAAAAGGGAATATATTTTCTCCTCTCAAGATGGGATAGGTTAGTGCCACTGGAAACTATGGAAAGCCAGAGCGTAAAGTAGGGATTAGATTTTTTTTTTTTGAGTGGTAAGAATATAGAGAGTTGTCTGAATTAAACGACAAGTATTTTATAATGTGTATCACACTGTAGTGATTAGCCTGCTTCAGTTACAGATGACAGCAGCAGTTGATGGAGGAAACCGCCTTGGATAGGTTAGTGCCACTGGAAACTATGGAAAGCCAGAGCATAAAGTAGGGATTAGATTTTTTTTTTTCTGAGTGGTAAGAATATATAGAGTTGTCTGAATTAAACGACAAGTATTTTATAATGTGTATCACACTGTAGTGATTAGCCTGCTTCAGTTACAGATGACAGCAGCAGCTGATGGAGGAACCAGCCTTGCTCCCCGTGCTGCAGGCAGCTGCTACGCTGTGCTCTGCAGTGCTGGTGCTGACCGTCCTTGTAGGTGGGATGCTGTCCTGCAGGCCCAGGGTCTGGCCCAGCATATTTCCCCACATCCCCGAACAACAGATTGCACTGACAGGTCATCTGACCTACGTACAGTGCTATGTAAAGGGTCTGAGGTACTTCTGGGGTTTTTTTTATAAGCCTCCCCAGCCTAAGGCAGCTCAGGAGGCTGTTGGGCTGCTTTGCCACAAGGGCACATTGCTGGCTCATAGTCAACGTGGTGTCCATCAGGACCCCCAGGTCCTTTTCTCCCAAGATGCTTTCCAGCCGGTCAGCCCCAGCCTGTCCTGTTGCCTGAGGTTATTCCTCCCTAGGGGCAAGACATGGCTTTTCCCTGTGTTGAACTTCACAAGGTCTCTGTCAGCCCATTTCCCCAGCCTGTCAAGGTCTTTCTGAGTGGCATGACAACCAGCTGGCCTATCAGTCACTCTTGTTCATCCATACAGGCCTCCTGACACCTTTGCTTGATTTTCTGCCCATTGAGATGGACCAATCTTGAGCACTGAAAAGGCAATTCTTGAAAATCAACCAGCTTCCTTGGACTGCCCTTCTCTGCAGGGCCTGACCCCATGGGATTCTTCCCTAAGCAGCCCAAAGTCTGCTCTCCTGAAGTCTGGGGTTGTGGTCCTGTCACTTGCCTTGTTCTCTCTTCTCAGGAACCTGAACTCCACCATCTCATGGCCAGCCAAGGCTGTCCCCAACCTTCACATACCCAACCAGTTCTTCCTCGTTTGTAAAAGTCAGGTGTCACAAAGTTCCCCTCTGCATCAGCTCCTCAATCACCTGTGTCAGGAATTTATTGTCAATGCCCTCCAGAAACTTCCTGGATTGCTTGTGCCCTGCTGTGTTGTCCCTCCAACATATACCAGGGTAGTTAAAAACCCCCATAAAGACCAGGGCCTGCAAGTGTGAGGCTTCTTCCAGTTGTCTGAAAAAGACCTCATCTACTTTGTCTTCCTGATCAGGCATTCTGTAGCAGACACCACCCATGTTGGTCTGCCCTTTAATCCTGACCTATAAGCTCTCGCTGGCTTATCACCTATCCCTAGGCAGAGGTACAGGCATTCC